ACAGTGTATACCTTGGTCCTCTTGCCAGGATGTCTTACTACACTGTTTCATTGAAAGCTTGGCATTTTATTTGCAACAAACTTTTATCCTCAGCCACCGAGAGTCTTGCTAAAAAAGGTGGGAGGGAAAAACATACCTGACAAATACATTTAAAAGAATCAATAAGTAAAATACCTGTGATGCTACATTTCTGCTTGCTTCCACTGGTTGGAATGACGATAAGCATGGAGAGAGAGGTGTGGGTTTGATTTGGGGTCCCTAAAAAGGAACTGCCAGGGGCAGACTTTAATAATATGGGGCCCTGTGTGAGGCTACATTTTGGTGCCCACCTCCAACTGATGGAAGGAAAGAAGTGGTGAGAAAGGCACTTCCTTCCTGCCACTTTTGCAGGTGAGGTGTCCAGTGGCCAGTGCAGAGAAGGAGGAGCAGGAAGAGCTGCTGGCACTGCCAGGAACAGGCAGGTGCAAGCAGAGCAGCATGGGATGGTGGTGGATATGGAGAGAAAGAGAGAGAGAGAGAGAGAGAGAGAGAGAGAGAGAGAGAGAAAGGCACTGAAGATCTGACTCTGAACCAGAGATGGCAGAGGCCACAATTTGGGGCTGAACACTGATGTGATTGCAGCTCTTGGAGCCCAGTTGCCCCGGTGATTTCTCAGCAGTCTGCCCAGGCTGGAGAAAGCTTTGGAGGACAAGCTCACACATGTGGTGGCAGTGCTCCAAAATCCAACTATTCTGGACAACAACTATACAAGAAATAAATAAAATAACTAAGCAAGTATTAGAAATCACCCCAGAACTGACCTTACTAAACATCTTCCAAGACAATAATGTCCACTTGCACCACAAAGAACTCATAACCCACCTACTTTCAGCAGCCGGAAGCATCATAGCCAGACACTGGAGAGACCTGTCAGGAGTAAGCATGGACCAATGGTACCAAATAGTATGGGAAACAGCCCTACTAGAAAAATTAACCAATAAACTGAAACTGACACGGGGACAAATAGAAGAAGACACCTTCACCCCGGTATGGCTCCCCTTTATCACATACACAGCCCAACAAGACAACGACAAAAATCCACCAGCAAGCATACGAATCAATATGGCTAACCTGATCCAAAACACCCACCCACCCCACTCACACATGAAAACTTTGTCTTCCTGACATGTTCCTTTACAGAATTATGGGGTGGTTTTTGCACCCCCAGGACTCGGCGCCCAGTGTGAGGGAACTGGTCACACTGTCCTAAATCTGCCTCTGGAACAGTAACCTAGGATACCTGATTTAGCATGATAGTTACATGCATGAGCTATGAGTTGGGTTCAGTTCTCAGCTTAGCCTGTGAACCTACTCAGTAATCTTGGGTAAGTGACTCTCTCACACCTCATTCCTTCCACTCATCTTTGACAAAATCATGTGCCCTACCTTTCAGGGTTGTTTTAAAGATTGCTGAGGGTGTGTAGAAGAATTCTGAGGACTTGGGGGGGGGAGTTTATAAATATGAATCACAGGTGGGACCTGCAACAAAAAACTAATAATATATAAGATTATGATGATAAGTGAGGAAGGGGGAATATCCACTTAAATTTGCTCCATATGGCAGCTCTCGTTGCATGGTGATTGTTTAAGCGTAGCAGCTCACTGGGCACATCAGTACATTTCCTTTTGCATGCATGCCTGCCTCGATTAGGTGTGCTAATAGGGAAAACAACTCAGTTCACCATGCATGCAGCTGCATGTGTGTAGTAACTGCATGTCATTAGAAGCAATTTAAAGAACCTTTTGTATAGCAAGTTGAATCTAACAACCAATTCTTACTTTGCAGAAGATGCTCAGGCTCAGACTTCAGTAAACCTCCATAGGGAATCATTTACATAACTGTGAGGTCAACCAGCAAAAGTCTCCCTCGTTATGTTTTTTCTCCTCTGAACACCTAGTTTGAGCAGAACTGGGAACCTTTGTCCACCATGGGTGCTAGAAAAAACAAGACTTAACTGGGACTATAGAACTGTCACATTGCCAGACATGCCAGAACTAGAAGATACGTGGTTCGTGTAGAGAAACTAGGGCTGCCACACATCTGGATTTTCCCGGACATTACCGGGATGTCAAAGTCAGAATTGACGTCTGGGGGGAATTTCTGAAAGGGGGCGCTTGGTCGAAAAAAAGTTCAACAACTTTGGGGGGGTGTCCTGCTTTTTACTTTGGGAAATATGGCAACCCTAGGAGAAGCAAAATGATGCTGAATAAAACATTAAGAATTTCACACCCCTGTAATTCCACTGATACAGAGGTAGGCTGCAATATTTGAATTTCATGCAACATTAATGTGTGTTTTTTACGTTCTCTTTAGCAAAATGTACATAGCTTGGAAAGCATTTGCTTTTCTAAAAGAGCATGTATTGACATTTCAATTACCGTTTCCAAAACATCTTAACAACTGCCACCTTTAGTCTTGCACTGGAAATATCAAGAACAGCGTCCCTAATAATGGCCTTGGGCCCACAACATTCATTCAATTTTTATGCATATTGTGTCAATAAAACTATGCAAATTAGCGGCTGCCTGCCAGCTCTTATTAGTTTTCAGAATAAGCTACCTAGCCAACTCTGTTTTCATCTGACAGAGACAGCACATGCAAGGTATCTGAAACATGGACAACTAATTCTACTCAAGCACTTAAGGATGAACAGAGACATCCTTTTCAATTTTGCTTATTGTCTGAACTGTAGCACTGCTCATCTGAAATTAACTGCTCCCCACCCCATTCCTGTCTTCACCTCTGGTACTACTATTTGATCAATTAAAATGAGAGATGTGGCTCCAGTTTTCTGTGTTATCAGAATGTATGTATACTGGCCATACAGAAACAGTTCATCTATAGGTACTAATGTCATCTCATCCTATGATAATTTGGCCCATTTGAACTTTTCATGTAAATTTCACTACCCCAAAAAAGTTACTACATAAGAAAAGAAGAGATCAATTTAAAACTAAGTCGCCTGATCATTTATTCATTTGGGCAATTCCATATCAAGTGATCCAACCTTTTTACCTCACATCATCCAATTTTCTTAATATTTTGTATGCTTGTTGAATGATCAAAACTAAGTTTAAATCTAAACTTTTAATTTTTCATCTCATCCCATTTTTTAGTTATGAGGGTTTGACATTTCAAAAAATCAACAATTTTGGCCTCGCCGGGCTACATAGAAACCTTTAAAGCTCAGCCCAGTCGCAACGGAGTCTTCATGTGCTATCATGTGCTGGGTTTATTTTTTTGTCACAACTACAACACAACAGCTACCCTTCTGCTCTGGAGGCTAGGATTCAAACCAACGTTTTCAAGTTACAATAAAGGAGATTCCGACAAAACATCAGAAAGAACTTTCTGACAGCAAGGACTTTTGGCCAGGGGAACGGGATCTCTCAGGAGGTTGTGGGCTCTCTTTCACTGGAGGATTTTGAGCAGAGATTGGGTGGCCATATGTCATGGATGCTTTAGCTGAGATTCCTGCATTGCAGGGGGTTGGACTAGATGGCCCTTGGTACCTTCCAACGCTATGATTCTGTGATTCTATTATTTACAGTGGCCTACTCGACTACCAACATTCATGCTCACCATCATGTAAAGCATCTCTGCCTGATATTCCTGGTGCTCAAGTGGCATACAAACTATTCCCATGATGGCAGCAATCCACATACCCAGGAGTCAGCAAACTTTTTCAGCAGGGGGCCGGTCCACTGTCCCTCAGACCTTGTGGGGGGCCAGACTATATTTTGGAGGGGGGGGTGAACAAATTCCTATGCCCCACAAAAAACCCAGACATGCATTTTAAATAAAAGGACACATTCTACTCATGTAAAAACATGCTGATTCCCGGATCGTCCGCGGGCCAGATTGAGAAGGCGATTGGGCTAGATCCAGCCCCCGGGCCTTAGTTTGCCTACCTATGTACTAAACTGTTCCGGACATTACCCATGACCACAGGGAGGCCATTAGAGGAAGCCTCCCTCTAAGAAGTTAACTATGTTTAATAGCCTTTAATTCTTCGTACAAAGCCATCAGTATACCTGAATGCATCCATTACCTTTCTGCTATCAACCCACATCAGATAACTTGATTTTCTACAAGTCAAAATCTCAAACTTCAGTCTTGGACATATTTTAGATTAATAAAGGATTCGATGATATGTTCTACCCAGTGACTGTTTATCACACACTGGACAAAGCAGCACAGGGAGTGAAGTGGAGTGTTGGATTGCAGTTCTCTCACAGGTCATACTCAAATCCCATCAGCAGAAGGGTAGCTCATCTGAGTGAGACATGACCTTTAGACAGTATGTTGTCATGCAAGTGAAAAAACATTGGAAAAGATGGTGGAATAAGGAAGGCCAACGAATACAACAAAATCTTTCACTATGATACTTTGCTGTTTATTTACAAAAATCACAAAGCAGAAAATTCAGGTTGCACAATTGTGGTTGATTGGGAAGTTTTGCACAACCAATCTACCCTCCCCAAAGACTGGACTTTTTGCAATAAGGAAAGTGGCAAGAAAATGAACTGGAAAGTGTGGGATAAAACTTGCTTTGGTACAATGTCTTATAACCTCCATACAAACAATTAAATAGCCAGTGTCATCTGGTCTCCCTGCAACAACAACAAAAAATCAGACCGAATGCTCAACAAATAGGTTGTCTGAAGCTGTTCAGATTAAAATGCCTTTCAGGGCAAAACCCAGTGTTTTAATTACAGGTCCTCTCACCTTTTGTGATGGCCTTCTTAACTGCTATTTTTAGCAGGCTGGGGAGTTAAGAGGTGGTGTGGCACCATACTCTCTCGAGGAACAGAGATAACATGATTCTGAGAAGCAACTGTAGAAGATTAACATTGCAATTATATCTTGATTGTGGAGCAGGATACAAATAATAGAATAGTAGAGTTGGAAAGGGCTGCAAGGGTCATCCAGTCCAATCCCCTGAAATGAAGCAATCTTTCACCCAACATGGGGCTTGAACCCACAACCCTGAGATCAAGAGTCTCAAGCTCTACCAACTGAGCTGTCCAGCTTCCTAGGTGCTGGACTAGGAAGGCATTTGGTCTCATCTAGCAGAGCTCTTTTTATGTTCTTAAACTGGAGGGAGAGTGCGTCTCTCATGATTTGCTATTTATGAGCAGGTTTATAAACCGCTCCGGAGCCAGAAGCTACCAAGGCAGTGGCCAATTAGATAAAAAATAACGTAGCACACAAAAGGTTGCAGGCGCATTAAATTTAAAGCAGCAAAATCATTTATACAATTCTACAATTAATATTCCATAAAACGACTAGGTCATACTTCGGGGGGGGGGGACTTTTTTTAAACAAAGTATCTTCAGTAACCACCTAAATATCAAGAAGCTAAGAACTTCTCTAATTTCCAGCTGGTGACTGATTTCGGAGAACTGGAATTATAACACAGAAAGCCCAGTTTCTAGTGCTGCACACTGCAGACGTGTGTTTAGTCTCAGCAGTTCCTTATTTGAGGAGCACAGATGGGGATATTTGGGGAAAGTCCCCTGCCTTTCCCCCATAATTTCAGTGCTAGCAGCACTACGTGATACAATTGCTGCTAGAAATACCAGTGTTCCGATAGTGTACCCTGCAGCAAACATTCCTTTCTTTTTTTCTTCCTCCCTCCCTCTCCTCTTTTTACCTGATTACAGAAGCATTCCCCAATATATCTACATAAGTATTAACAGTAGTGATGTCACACACACAGATCCAGAAGCACAAATAGAAGGGGCTCAGAGGCAAGCACTGTAATGCCTCATCAGAATCTGAATAATATTATTTCAATATCTCATTTTAATTTCATTTCTTCCGCCCCCAGTTCCATCTTCATCTCTGGAGGAGGTAGACATTCTTACACTCAGAATGATCTCTGTTCTGTTACTTTATGAAGGACTGCTAGGGTGCTAAAGAGATATTTTACCTCTATAGATGCTGCTATGGAAAGGATTAATGTTTGCCTGCACCAAAAAAGTAAATTTGAAAATAGTCCCTTCTGCACAAGTGAAGCACTGTCATGACTATAAGGCATCATGCAAAGAGGCGGATTTCTACAGTCTGCTTTAAACTGGAATTCCCCTGCACAGCTAGTGGTGCTTCTCATGTAATAAATGAAATAGTCTGGATAGCACTACTGAGGCCCACAACCATCACCACCCAAGAGGAGAAGAACCAGCTGACAGCTCAGAATTTCAAATACTTTTGTTTCCTGCATGCATGCTGACTCCCACCACCTAAGGAAAAACACAAAATAAACCCATAAATACTACCAAAAATTTTCATACCTGCTATTTATAGTAAGCTTCATAATGCAATGAATGTTTTCTATTTACAGCACTGGAACTTAGCTAATCTCCTCAGTTCCCTTTCCATGCTATTTGTAGTCCAATGTTTCCTTTTCCCTCTCTGCAATCTTGCAGAAGGAAAGCAGGAGGAAAAATAGCCAAGCATTGGCTAGGTAGGAGGGATATATAGTCAAACAAAGTGCAACTACATGGTAAGAAGTGTAAGCCGAAAGGAAACTGGGAAGAGATGAGGAAATTCCCAAGTAAGGACCTTGCTGGAGAAGAGTAAGAGCCCAACTAGCTGAACACCCTGTTTTCACAGACGCCTATAGGAAGCCCAAATGCAGAGCAGGAGCCAAATACTTTAAGGCTTTCTACAACCTTGCACATGAGACATTTACTCCAACACCTTCATAACTTTTCTATCTCTCATGTTGAGTATTTCAAGCAAAACTCTTTGGTTTACTTGCATAAAACAAGAAATCTGGCAGGGACCAGGAGTTAGAGTTCAAAGCAAGGCATGCAAGGCACAACCCAAAAGAACTGCTACCCAAGGAGCCTGCAAAAGACCAGTGTCTCCCCAGAGGCAGAGGATGTGACACTGTCATCCTCAAACTTGGGGGGGGCGGGGCGGTGTGGCCAGGGACTCCCTAACTCTGCCACAGCAAGACAATAATGGAGAGCACCAGGCCCCTTTTAAGTATAGTAACGTCTTCCAGTATGGGTGGAAATAACAATTAGGAGGCAGCGGTCCTGCTGCTATAGAGGGTTAAGGCTCCATTTTTTCCCTGCTGAAGCAGCGTAAGAGCTTTGGCTGTAGAACACAATATGAACCCCCCTCCGCATTTAACCATCCTATACCCAGGCTTGCCTCAGTCTGCTAGGTGCTCACCCTGCACCCGGCCTGAATTCCAGTTTGCTTCCTTAGCACAGAGCATCGCAATCTCTATCTCAGATGGTGATGGAAGTGTCCTGGCTGAATTCTGTTGTCTATCAGTAAAACACATTCCAGCATGTTTGCTGTCCTCCAAATGACTAGCTACGATACGGCCCAGGGCTCTTTTATGACCTCAAGTACCCTTTAGACGCTACTTTAGTACAGCTGCATTCATTTTTTTACCAAGTGTCAGCACACTGTGAAGGCAAAGCACAGACCTGAGTACAACACATATTTTTTTTCTCTCCTCTGTCTCCTTTCAGGAAAGAATGGAATTGAAAGTTTCTGTCACCTGGCCAGGAATGAAAAATGAGACCTTCTTCTCCAGTTCATTCAACTTGCAATATGAACAAAAAACACAACTAAAAGGATTTGACAAGGTATAATGTGAGAACATAACTATTTTCATTTTTAATTCACACAGCAAACAAACGTGTCATTAAGCAACTTACTACATATATTGTTAGAATAGATCAGGCATCCCCAAACTCGGCCCTCCAGCTGTTTTGGGAATACAATCCCCATCATCCCTGACCACTGGTCCTGTTAGCTAGGGATGAGGGGAGTTGTAGTCCAAAAACAGTTGGAGGGCCGAGTTTGGGGATGCCTGGAATAGATGTTGCCCTATGTTTGGAGAACCTTGCGAATCATAAAATTGTACAGTTGGAAGGGACCACAACGATCATTCAGTCCAACCCCTACAACGCAGGAATCTTTTGCCCAGGGTAGGGCTTAAACCCACTACCCTGAGATCAAGAGTCGCATGCTCTACCGACTTAAGATATCCCTTCACATAGTTAAGATATAAAGTTAGGACAGTTTGTTTATCTTTCCCCACCACCACCACCATACATACACCAAAAAAAAACCCAACCATGAGAATTGATCAACTTAGTAGCAATCCTTCATTTAGTTATCTATCATAACTTGGACCTCTTGGCAAGCCCTTCCTTTTCACAGTAACAGTACAAGGAATTGTCGCCACCCTTCCTGAATCCCAAATGACGTTGACAAATTTGGCAACATTCTGCATGTTCACCCAAAACCTAACCAACTCCTCACACATTTAGCTGGGTTCCCGGCCAAGACCCTCCAAAGAAGCTCCCAGAAGCCATTTTACACAGCAGCCACAACAGCTAGAAACAGCAGATGAAAAGAGGGACTGTTACGGGAAAGTCACACAGTGAATGAAAAGAAACAAAATGCTTGAGAATGAGCTCTGAAAAGGTAGAAAGGGTGCCTGGGGTTTTCTGTACTTTCAAGGGAGGAATTCTGGCAACTGAATCTAGCACGTAAACCACAGATTTATTTTCCTCCTCCAAATACAGGCCCATGAGATCAAATCCTAGATTTGGATAGTTTGTGAATACACATCCAACGTGACCCGTCTAGTTAAACAAGCTGTAAGCATATAAGAAGAATCGAATAAGGTACAGAATTGTTGTTAAATTCATTACAAAAGCATTTAACTTGCTTGCCAGTTTATTAACATAAGAGAGGAGAATATTCTCATGATCAGCCATCATTGCCTTTGCTGAAAAACAAAACTAGTTCAGTTGGTAGAGCAGGGTTGTGGGTTTGAGCCCCACTTTGGGTGAAAGATTCCTGCATTGCAGAGGGCTGGATGAGATGATCCTTGTGGTCCCTTCCAACTCTACAATTCTGTGATTTTATGAAAACCCCAACCCCTGTCTAAAGTCAGGAAGGTCCATTCAGACGTTACGCATTCCCTCACAACGGGCAAAAAACAACATGTGATCCAGCTACTCTGTAATTATTTGAAGGCTGCATCTCCCTCATAACCCTGAATTTTGCACAGAGTTAGACAAGGGAGGAGATTCATGAGGATATCGAGCTGAAACACGCATAGCACTGCCTCTAGATCTGATATTGCTTCACTTTCCTGCAAGGGGTGCCTTAGACTTCGACCAGAGCAAGGTTTCTGCATAGTAAGTAATGTCCCCACAGCCAGTGTAAGAAGTCCACACACTCATACTTCCCCCTCTCCAGTTTCTGGCACACATTTTAATTCAGGAGAGTTATAGAAAAACAAAAGCAATGTCCACTCAATAAGGAAGCAAGCAAAACTCTGCATGTGCACATAGTTTAGCCTATTGTTGCCATTTGGATCCAAAAGGAAAAAACGAAGAATTCAATTATAATGCTTGCCTCTCAAATAATCTGCTGATCTGACAGAAATTTATGTTAATATGGCAATTTGAAGCTATGCAAATCCAGTTATCGTAGCTGGTTTGCATAAACATGAAACCATACTGTCTTAGAATTGTACAGCATATCAGATTCCTACGGTCCATATCTAAAGGAGTGTTGACCCTATACTGATCCACCCTTCATCCATGGATAGCTGTTTTAGGAATCTGCACACACTGCGCCCTGTGGCATAGCTAGATTTCTACACAGGTGCTGACCAGGAAAATTTACATTTTCCCACTTTCCTTCACTGGGAGACTAGCTGGCTTACAGCAGAGAGAGGCTGTGGAAGTGAATTTGCATTGTGTTGTTCAGTGACTGACATGTATATTTAAAGGATAAACTAAGTGGTCTGCTCACATTGGCAGCATAATGTACCAGGAAGGAACTTGCACAATGCCACAAATTGGCAACCCTCAGCTGGGAAGTGGTGTGTGATCCCCATCTGCTCATCTCTAGTATTCTCGCCTTGCACGTTGCATTGCTCATATGGCCCAATTGTGCTAGCCAATGAAAACTTGAATTAGCCCCAAGATAGATTAGCTTTGATATGGACATTCATAATTGTTTAGTCAGCAACAATCCAGAGACAATGCG